GTGGACTTCAGCTCCCAGAATTCCCCAGCCAGCCATGCTGGCTGGGGGATTCTGGGAGTTGAAGTCCATGCGTCTTAAAGTTGCTAAGGTTGAGAAACACTGATTTAGAGCAATCCAGCCCTGTCTGCAGCTTGGTTTAGAGATTGTGTGGCGGACTCCCTGTTTGAGGTTGCCACTGAAGGTTTTCATTTGGGCTTAGAACTGAAGTTTCTGGTTTAATTAGAAGCCTGGATTGAATTACTAGCAGAGACCTCCCAATTCTACAATTTGGTAGCTTCGAGTTGGAAATTCTTACGTTATATAACAAATGCCTGGAACTTCCTACTCAACTATCTGACTTCTTTCAGGTTGTAAGAACTTAGCGTGTCCACAGATACTTTCAGAATTATCTTTCTAGTTGTTAAGTCTAGAAAGTTTTTCAAAGGATAAAGGTTGTTAAATTGCTGAATTTTTCGGCTTTTACAAAATTTGGTGTATCTAGGTAGGCGGTGCAGAGAACTGATTATTAGCGCAATGCTGTGGAATGACAACAGAAAGATCCACCTTTGTTTGTTTGGGGGGGGATTTGGGGTACAGAAACTCTACACCTGGATGCAAACAATTTCATCTACCTGGCTCAGCCACGAGTCTTCAGATCTCTCTGTGTCAGAGGACATTTGGCCACACAGTGCAGATTCTGGGATGGGCTGCGAGAACGATTCCGAGGCAATAACCTCGCTCTCGGAGCCTTTGACCCCAGACACTTGCAGCCAAGCAGTGTCCACATTGCAGGATCTCGACCTGGATGAGCAGTCAACTTCTTTGGCCAGTGTTCCAGACCAAGAACAATTGGGTAGCACCCCCAAGCCCTTGGACATGGTCAAGGAATACAAACTATGGCTTCAGATGTGCATTGCAGCTCTTGAAAAGGATGTGTCGGAAGAGGAAATCCAGAAACTGGACCAGACTGTGGATGCTCTGACACGATGGGAGATGTTCACAGGACAGCTGCCTAACACGCGGAAGGATTTACCTTTTACCAGTGACAGTCCTGGGCTGAGGAAAGTTCTGGGAGACAAATTCTCCTCTTTAAGAAGGAAACTTAGCTCCAGAAAATTGGCAAGAGCAGAATCCTCCCCCCATCGTTGGAGGTGGGAAGAAAGTTAGCTCCATGGGACATTTTGCCTGCTTTTAAAAAATGATGGATTAAGTGTGGGTTTTGTTAGTCTTGTTTCTTCTATTATGCCTCTTGTCTTTTCAACTGCAAATTCTTATTGTTTTGTCAGAAAAAGGAACTAAGAATTTTCCAAGTGCAATAAAGTAAGTTTCTTTGGATGAGGCCTGCTCCTATCCTTCCTCCAGTAGTTCCTGGAAAGATGAGCCCCTCTTTAATCTACAGGGGGAGAATATCCTTTGTAGGGATCCAGGTGTAGCCATGGCTCTAGTTTAAATGATGGTGATTTGCAGGTCAAGACAAAATCCCTATCAAATACGGTGAACAGCCACCGTGGAAAACACAAATGCAAACAGCTCTGCAGAAGACAGCTTTACATGTTTATGTAATCATCCTGCAAGTTATATAATACTTGATTTTTGAAAGCGTGCACTTGGGTGAGGAGCAAACTCCATGTTGCATAGCATTCTCAGTTTGAGAAAAAGGAGTGGAGAAGAACCCCATTATTCTGCTCTCTTCTGCCAGTTGCATCCGATTTTCTACCTGTTACCATTCCTAGCAAATTCAAATTTGTTTTCCAGAAAATGCCACCCCTAGCCTGAACTTCTGTGGGACAGGAGAGAGGTTCTGGAAGAAGTGGGACATTGTTAGGGGCATTCATCTAGCCCTTTGCTTAACTGTTGGCACTCAAAAACGTGGCTTGAAAAGCAGACTTCTCCCTCTGCTCCCACAATGAAGCCTTTAATTTTATATAGCCGTTTTAGAATTCCAGGTCTACAAGGGATCTTGTCTCCCATCTCCCTACTTTGTAATAAACCACAAGTGAGCCTAAAGTACAGAATGCAAGCTTGAAACCAGTTCAGGCCTACCTCAGAAGAACATTGTTTTAAGGACCCTGCTATGAGGTGTAGAATTAGTACTTCTGTAGACGTTGACATAAAACAATGATTTGGGAAAGCCCAAGCTTCTCAATTTTGATTTTGCTACCTGAAGACTTCATAATTAAAATAGCCATATACACGGCTGCTATCATAGACTATATAACAGTCAAAGAGACTTAGACATACATAGGGTCACACTGCACATATATTGTCTGAAAAGAAAATGAGGAATAAGCTTAACTTGAAAAAGGAAGGATCAGTTATCTGCTGGAAACATCTGTTGCCTTCCTTCTCTCAACCCCATGTATCCTTCATGAAAAAGCAGTCAGTCAGACTGACTTAGCCCCATAGCTACTCCCAGTTGATTAAATATAGTTTTAATTGCTTTTGCGACAGACCATAAAACACACATTACACATTCCTGTTTGCCCGTTAAAGAAAAACGGCAAGCCTATCTCTCATTTGGAAAACACCAGGGGCCACTGAGGATCAAGGAAGGCAGGAGAGAAAGAGTATTTTAGAAATAAGCACTTTGATTAGATTTCATTTTAAAAACATCAGCAAGGAACAGAGAAGCAAGAGCAAAAATAAGCCTGCATCTCCCCCATCAGCTAGCGAAAGGGTTTGCAGCACTCCGGAGGTCGCTATAGCAACTGTTTTCCAAGGGAAGAGAATCTATCTGGCACCTCTTTGAAAAACAGCTGCTGGGTCGGGGCTGATGCTCACACTCACACATAGGTATTCACCTCATGCTTTCCCGTAGTTTAATTTGGCCCAGGGCTGAAAATGCCTCTTGTGCATGAGAAGCCAAATACATTTGTTCTTCTATGCAGGTAGTCCTCGTTTAATGACCGTTTGAAGTTCCAACGGTGCTAAAAAGCGACTTATGACTGGTGCCTGAAGTTACATCCGTCACAGCGTGCCCACGGTCACATGATTGCGATCCGGGCGCTTGGCAAACAGCTCGCACTTGCTACAGTTACAGTGTCCTAGGGTCATGTGATTGCCATTTGCGACCTTCCCAGCCGTCTTCCGGCAAGCAAAATCAATGGTGATTCACGCGTGATTCACTTAACGACCGCTGCATAAAAGGTCATAAAAATTGGGTCTGGTCACATGATGATTCACTTAACCACATCACTTAGTGACCTAAATTCCAGTCCCAATTATGGTCACTAAGTGAGGACTACCTGTACTGCAAAAGCTGGCTCTAGCAAGGGGCACAACGAAAGCATGTAGGGTATGCTGGACATGACCCATAGTCGGAGCAGAAGAGGTCAGAGCCATAAGCCCTAGATCCTTCTTCCCAGAGCTAGGGAAAGATTATCCAAACAGGAAAGAGCCAGCACCCTGCTGCCCGAGAGGCGAGCTTTTGGACAGCACTCCCAAGTGCACCAAGAATGACCCAGGCTTCCAGTCACCCCTAATATCAAAGATCAGAAGAGCTGAGCAGAACGACCACAAATACGCTCTCCCTATAATCAAAGCAAAGTCATGAGCTTACAGCTATCCCAGCCTCTTAATTTCTAAAACCCATAAAAAGCCTTTCAGTTCTACTACCCGATTTCACGAGGCTACAGAGCAGCAGCACTGTAGCCCCAGGAAGGAGACAGAATTTGCTGATACTGATGAGACATCTGAGAGCAGATGGTAGGCTGAAACAGAAATAAAAATAAAGATAATAATAAAGATCCAGGCAAACTACCTGTAGCCACAAGGGATCTCTAAAACAAAGGTAAGAAAGAATTGCAGAGGGAATTTATGTATCCATGGGCCAGCAGAGAAAAGGGAGGGAAATCTAGTTGCCTCAACATGCTTTGCACTAAGTCCAGATGAAGAAATAGGCTTGGTTTGCAGACTGCACTAAGCCATGGTTAAACTGAGTTATTGAATAAACCAACATTGCTGAGATTACAGAACACGGGGAACCAACAAAGGCATGAAACCAAACCAATCTGGGAATAGCTGGGTAGGAATGAAACACATCATTTTGTCAATATTCCCTGTTTTTTTATTGGGACATTTCTCAGCATGATGTCTTCCAGATACATCGGTCTAGAATGCCACAGTCCAGCATGCTCAATAAACCAAGGTTGATGGGAACAATTCTTCAGTACCTTTGGAATAGCCCATACTGAGGCTTCGCTTCCTTCACTATCAAACGGCACTCATTTCGCGGCTTGCCATCCACCCAACTAAAATTCATGGAGGTTGACTTTTAAGGGGTATGTTTGCGAAGCTCTGAGCTACAATACGTGGGAACTCTCAAAGAATAAAGAAGGGTTTCTAATGGGAAGTCTTAGTGCTGTGTTTATCCGATGTTGAGAAAAAAAACAACCCTCAAAGCAGCGTAGATGTCATGACAAACATTTCACAGCTGACTAGAATACAAAAAACTACCTTCTGAGTCAGTTGGAAGCAAAAGTAATCCAAAAATTGCAAACCCATCGTTGCCGTTAGATGAGTTTTTCCTTTTTTTAAAAAAACAAAACTGTTTCCACTTCAAGCTCATGAGTTAAACAAATAGCTGAGATATTTCAAGGAAGGACGATCAAGTTTAATCCTACAAAACTCCAAGCTTCATTATATGGGGGTGGAGGGAGAGAGCCGTGGTTGAATTGTTTTACCCGTCCTCCGCTATGGGATTTTTTTAGAGTAACGAACGGTGCGTATGGAAATCTTCACCGTTAACCGATAGGACGGGGAAGAGGGATTAGGCCTTTCAAACTAAGCTGGGACCCTTATTCAGAATCTATCCAATTATCACAGCGTTGCTCAGGCAGAGTTCACAGGCAATTTTATAAATTGCTTCCAAGCAAGAAGGGTTGAGTTCGGAAGCTCTGGCACAAATCTGTTCGGGCAGAAGTTGACCAAAGAGGACAGCAGTGTTGAACCAATCTTGGTTGGACAGAGGTCTCACTGGGATGTCAGGAAGTTGGCCATTTCTAAAGATTCTAGACCAGTGTTTCTCAACCTTGGCAACTTGAAGACGTGTGGACTTCAACTCCCAGAATTCCCCAGCCAGCATAGCTATGCTGGCTGGGGGAATTCTGGGAATTGAAGTCCACACGTCTTCAAGCTCTGAGCTACAATACGTGGGGAAGACGTGTGGACTTCAATTCCCAGAATTCCCCCAGCCAGCATAGCTATGCTGGCTGGGGGAATTCTGGGAATTGAAGTCCACACGTCTTCAGGTTGCCAAGGTTGAGAAACACTGTTCTAAACCATAGGAAAGAAGCTATCTGCATTAATCTATCCTGGTCACCCTGTGTAGCCAGATATAGGAGGAATGTGAATGCTGACAGATTTTATCAAATTTGCATTTTGCTTGTAGACTGGCAGCTTGCCACAAGCTATAAGGCATCAACATTTTCACAGTGACCATGGAAGCAGACGAGGGGTCACCAATAAAACCGAGAAGCCAGCTTTTTCAACAGTTGTAGGACATAATCTCCTGCTGCTTTCATGTTACTCTTTTATTAGGTATTTTTGTCTGAAGTCTAATGCCTGTAGATTATTCTAACATGTTGGCCTCTGGCTAAAATAAAGAATTGCTCACTGGGGCGGCGGCGGAAGCATCCAATTGAAAGAATAGCCAAAGGGAACAATGTGTGCTGGCTGGGGAATTCTGGGTGTTGAAGTCCACCCGTCTTAAAAACACTACAGCACACCAATTATTTGCCAACCTTGGCAAATTCCAGATGTGTGGACTTCAACACCCAGAATTCTTATCAATGGCCCTGTGGGCTGTGGCATTCTGGGAGTTGAAGCCCACACATTTAGAAATTGCCCCGGTTGGGGAACACTGCAGTTAGATGGTGCTAAATCCTTCACATAGCATTCTTGTTCTTTTATTACGACCACAATTAGGTATGGGAAGAGAAAGGAGGAGGCCCTCCAGATTCACATCTCCCCCATCTGTTCAACCCATTAATATACAGATTTACACATTTCACTGCATATGAAACTCACATTCATTCTGCAAACAGATGGTCACGATGTGTTCAGACAGAGAGACAGAATTAAAGTGCGGCATTTGTCTCACCATGTGACTATCTCTATTCCTTTTTTTTTTTTTTTTAAAGCTATTAACTGCCTTTGGGCGCTCTAGGCAGAAAGGCAGAATACAAATTACGCTCAGCCAATTGAGAATTGTTCTAAGTTTTCTTTCACAGAAGTGCCACAAGCACAGAAATGGAGAGAGGGGCACAATGTGCCAGATATAATATTTGAGTCAAAAGCATTGCACGCTAGTATTCAGAAAAGGGCTAGGGTGAGCAACCTACTGCTTCCCACTCACAGCACTTAAAGTTGTCAAAAGTCTAGAAGAGAAAGCCACTTCATAAGAAAAGGGGCAGAAATGTAGGTCACCCTGTACATCCAATAATAGAAAATGACTTAACCGATGCCATCAGTGGAATCCAGTGAAACACCTCCAAATTGAGAAGATTTCTGGCTGCAACGCCAGCTACCGAAATGCTAGAAGTCAGAGTTGGACAGGTCAAGAGGTCTTCAATACCTCTGCTCGCTCATCTGCGGATCAGTGGAACTCACTAACACGAATATTATACTGCCATACGTAATCTATCTTTAATCGCATTAGGCTATGGGCCACAGTACTTTCCTAATGTTTTATTTTCATTAAACATACAAACCACGCTCAAATCATTTTCCTACTCAAGTCAATAACAGTGTAATTATAGTGACCGCTGCTCAATTGCAAACATTCACAAAGCCACTTCATCTGCAAAGTTGGACCACCTCTTCTTATCGAGTCTGTGCTGAGACAGCTCCTCGAACCCACCCTGGAAACCTGGGATACAGTTCTCTTTTAAACGGCGTCTTCTAAAATAAAATAGTATTTGATGAAAACAGCAGAGGATTTTGTACAACAGATATAATGATGGATATATTAAATAAAATCCGCAGCGCTTATGTATTTTTGTGTATGAGGCCACTAGATACTGTCCCACACATCACAACTGCTGCTCCCTAACAGAATTTAAATTGTTTGGCAGAGTCTAAAGCACAGTAATAACAAATCACATTTTAATGGATTTACAAAATTCGTATATACAAAACAGCTAATTCAAAACTAAGCAGTACATTTTTACACCCCAGTATTATAACAACACACTTTCGTGAAAAGACATTATCATTGTCAAAGAGGCCACAAAAGATCACAGATGCCCTTTTCAATGGGTATAAAAGATAACTATTTAAAAGCACATACAATTCCAGATTGCTATGGCTGTTATGGTACATCTATCTCAATTTGATGACCACAAAATTGAGGCTACGTTGGACTTAGAAAATTAAGGCTTTAACCCATGCCTTTCCTACCCCAAATATTCATTCAAGTTCTTAAGATATCAAATGCTGCATAGGATATTGTTTGAGGCTGAAGACTCAGAAAGTTCTTTAGTTCAGGTTTCTCCAAAGTGGTCAACAGAGACCCCAAGGGTTGACAGGACTATCCAAGGGGTCGATGTTACTATAATATTCATAATACCTTTAGTTAAAGTAGCATTTATTACATTATTTTCGTTAGTAAGTGTTTGGGGGTCGATGAACACTCTTACACTTCATGAAGGGGTCGATGAGCTGAAGAGTTTGGGGATCTCTGCTTTAGATCTTGCTTCACAGCCTCTGGAAGTTACAATTTTGTCTGCCACACAGGTGCAATATGGACTCACCTTACATATTTTCAGCATACTGAAACACCCTGGATGCTTCAAAAGCACAACACGAATGCTAACAAGTGTGCTACAAGATGTATGTGCCATCTTGATGGGCAAGAAGGCGTTTCCAAAAGAATTTGTTAGCTATCATACAAGATGGCTTACAAAGCTAGCCATCTTGCTTGACATCCACTGCTTTCTTAAACTACCAGAGAAGAAGTGCAGTCAGTTTCAGGCAGACCCATGGAGGGGGGAGCTCATCTTTGCCTCAAGTTCAAATCCTGCAAAACTTAAAAACAAAAAAAAGGCCTTAGGCTAGCTGTGCTCAGGGATACCTTGGGACAGAGGCAGAAGTACCATGGATGAAACTATGTCAGGATTGGGTCCTTTATACTGCAGACTGTATAGCAAGGCAGGGCTGGCTTCATTTATTTTGCACACCCAAGTAATATTTTATGCGGAGAAACAAACGTTGATTTCTCCCCACCTCCACAGAACACAAAGAGCTATTTGCTTTTGCTCTTAGAAACCCCAAAGCCTATGCTTAATTACAACATGTCATTTGGTTTCAGGGAAATATATTAATATACCATATATTCCATTCGTTCTCTCAACTCCAAAGAGCACCTAGATCAGATCTTGATAGGCAAGTGGGATTCCACCATTACCGACAAAACTACTATAAAATGCCATTCTATTTTTTTTTGGTCAGAGTCTAAGCTTGGCAGAAATGTTGTACAATAAGAAAGCACTTCTGATTGATCTAAAAAGGACACTGTGAAACAAAGCTGCAAGCTACTTTTAAGGCAGGGTTTCTCAACCTTGGCAACTTTAGGATACGTGGACTTCAACTCCCAGAATTCCCCAGCCAGCCATGCCGGCTGGGGAATTCTGGGAGTTGAAGTCCACGTATCTTAAAGTTGCCAAGATTGAGAAACCCTGCTTTAAGGTATATAGGGCCACAGTGGTTAAGAGTGTCCTTGGGCATGCTTGTAAGAGACACACTACATCAACTTTCAGGAAGTTAATTAGACCTTCTGTATAGCCAAGATCTTTTACACTACATAGGAGAAAGCTTGAATTTGCATGTTCCCATTATAAACAAGGAGGCCAGCTGAATAAAAGATTTATAATGCACGTCCCAGTCGTTACAAGGATGCCAACAGATTGTTTTAAGAAGCAACCCAACCCTTTCTCTAAAGAAAGTCATCAGAACACGTGGTCTTCACTCATGGCATTTTGCTTCAATATGCACAGACTGTCAGTGTTTAAGCGAGAATCCTGGAAAACCTATTTAGAAACCAGATCTTTCCTCCTCCACACTTCCAACAGTAGATTTCTGGCTCACCCCCAGGAAGCTAACCATGGAGGTCAGGGTGTGTGTGTGTGTGTGTGTGTGTTTAAACTGGACTGTAGCAAGTTTCAGCAAAATAGGGGCAGTGCGCCAAACCTTAGCTAACTAATCAGCTTGTGGTTGGAAGTTTTTTTTAATTCAGGGAGAAGAATTACTGTACTGGTAAAATAGCAAAAACGTGTGAGGCCAATTCATTCAGCTACCATGTCAGATGGAAAATACATTTTTGTTATCAGACCACAGAAACCAGGTGCAATTTGTTCACTCTGCCTAACTTGGTATAAATGTACAGAATCCTATTCCTGCTTCCTTTATTTCGGAGAGTATACCTGTTAAGTTGGAAACCTGGCAGTCAGTTCCAACAAGATGCTTGCTGTGGGCTGAGAGAATAAATGCCAATCCTGAAACCAGCCTTCTTGCAGCTTCCGTTCCATGAAAAATAAAAAAAAATTCTCACGTTTTCCAAAACCATTATTCCAAAAAGTTTATATTAAACAAATTTTCATGTAAAATCTAGTTGATGTGTATTTTGTCTACATAAGTGCAGACAGACACTGAATTTCCTCTTGGTTCTGGGCCAAGAGGATCAAATACACAGCATTATATGCCTTACAGAGACTTCTTTGGACAAAGGACAAACTGTGCAACTCACTAAAGACTATTTAACTGGTACAAAACATGCAAAGTATAAATTCAAAGTCGATTGTCCTATGTACGACCCATTTCCTGGCTAGTCAGGGTCATTACAATCAAGCACTCTGTCTACAAATCTGGTCCCCCCCCATTTCTCCCTAACTCTACTCGGAAGAAAACAATCTGGGGAGGGGTGGGGGAGGGCAATCAGATGAAAAAGCATTGTGGCTCTGGCAGGAGAAAGAAGAGAGGCAGTGCCTTGATGGCTAAAGATCATATAATGTGACTGCACTGGATTGCAAAAAAAAAATGTTAACCCTGACAATATACAGAAATGTGTACACTGTCAAGTATGATGAGAAGACGTGCTTATGTTATATATGCAAGTGTTATACAGTATAGATTTTTAGGGCTGACTAGCAAGGATCATTTGAGCTGGCCTTTACTGTTAAATATAGCTACCCAAGACTGACCGGGTATACAAATAATGGGGCAACCACAACGAATGACTTTAGATATTAAACATCAATTTCAGTCCTAAAGAGGATGATTACAGCTATGAGAACAATTGTACACTGGTATGGCGAAGGAATAAAAACCTTAACCACGTCCTAAAAACAGTATAAATTGACTGCAAGATCCACTGGGTGGATCAGATTCCGTTTAAGTTATAACTGGCTATCAAAACTTGCTATAATAATTTGTTTCCCCAGCAAGGCTCCGTCACACCACAAGAAGACTCTTATTTGGAATCAAAGGAACGATAGCAGTATATTACATTCGGTAAGCCTTACTTCTATAATAGAAAAAGAATAAGTTTGAGAAATTAGCACCTTATTCTTTAAAAAAAAAACCATTTTAACATGCAACCGGTAGCATAGTTCAGGTTTTAAGTACTCGTAAAGCAGTTTGTGCTACTAGCTGAGACATTTTTAGAAGTCAAGTTAACTGGATAGACCAAGTTTCATCTACACAGAAACTACTGGCAAGGAAATGAGTTAAAATATATACATATGTGCCATTAAGTTATTTCTGAACTTTGCAGAGTTGGGGCCATTTACCATGGCGAGAAACGAATCAGAAGTCTCTGGGTAACTTTTGGATTTTCAAAGGAAGGGTGAATTCAGCATTAGCTCTAATTCTAAAATAAGGTCCAACAGACCATCCAACCATTTTACAGCTTACAAAATTCAGATTCTTGGCAAATGGAAGCATCTTTTAGAAGTCAAGTTAACTGGATAGACCAAGTTTACCATTTAGAAATGGTAAAATCTCTGATTCGAGACATGACAGTGCATCAATAGGTAACCTCTTACACATAGCCTCAAAAAGCTGACCTTTGTGGCTTTTAATGGGTCTATCTTACTTTTACATAAGACCTGGAAACAAATGTGGCCTTCGTTTCTGAGAAACAGCTCGACGTTGCACAAAACATACTACAGCAATGGAAAGTGTGACATGTAGCACATCAAACCAAAACACGCCTATGTAAAGCTGAGTGATCCACACACGGGGGAGAACCTTAGAACTCCTCTAACTGGAAGTCACAAAAGATTTTTAGATTGGCATTACTTGTGCTATAAACACCTAGAGAACTGCCTTGCCTCTGATTGTCCCAAAAGGGCACACGACATTCAGATAATAAGATACAGGAAAGACTAAGCCCTTTGTTTTATTACAAAATATGGTACCAAAGTCACAGTAAACATTTCTTACGTTTAAGATTATCCCTGAATAATGATTATAGAATGGATAAGGCAGGACTTAGTTTGATTAATACATACCTCAGAGGAGACAAAGTGTGAACTATCTGGACACAAAAGAAAGGCACCCATAGTTAAATATAACATTTTAGAATGAAAAAATAAGCTCACATCAATGTTATTCACAGCCTCCTGCAAGTTCACACATACTCTATTCTAGCCTTAAACAGGCAAATTACACGGGACAGTTTATGTTTCTTTAAATGCATTATGACATACATTGGTAAATCCCTATATAATTAAGAATAAACTCAAAGCAAGATCCTTTCTTCCAAACTCAGTGCCTCTGAAACACTGATTTTTAAGAGCAATTCACTATAGTGCTATGGACAGTTGCTCCTTGCCAAGACCTGTCTAAAATTTTTATTAACTTCCATATTAGAGACAGGAAACACTGTCGCACTGAGGGATTTTTTTTTATATAGATCTAATATGAAAACAGAGTTAAAAGATGTTTTAAGGGTTTAAGCACTAGGTGTGTATGTTCATTGTCCTCAGACTGCGTTACTGCTGAAGCTGTGTCCCATCACACAGTAACAATGCCGTGCAAAGCCACGTTCTACCAACCCAGGCTTTGGATAGCTGCTCTGTTTTGATGTGTCTTGCTAAAAAAAGTGTTTTGCTTGCATGACCACTTAAATTCAGTTTACAATTCTGGATTTCTACCTAAGGAAAGCTGAAGAGAGATTCCTTAAACAAGAGCTAGGATAGCCAGTTGGCAAACGCCATCCAAATGTTGGCAAACTTCTGTGTATGCACCTGGCCTATAAACTGATTGTGGAATTATGACAATGTATTACAAGGTATTCTCTAAAAAGAACCATCGATGAAGAAATGAAATATATTACTGAATTCATTATTCAGCACCCAAGACTAGCGAGGCGGACAGGTATGGTAGCTAGCATGTTCTGCATTGTTGCGGAATAAGATTAATTCACACAGAGACCTTTGTTACATTTCCCCACAAAGGTTGGGGCTCGCTTTTCAAAAGCCAAGAGGAAGTTCAGGGTTTAGACAAGAATGTGTTTGCAACAGCCACTTTCTCAGTTGTGTTTTCAGCTAGGCGATTCAGTAGCTCACTTGAACTTCTGTAATTTTTCTGCTTCTGGCTCTTCTGTCCAGCCTTCCTAATGCAAGGAAGGGCATGGATCTTCAGAGAAAAAGATACATGGCAAAACCCATAGTGGTAACAGTTGGGCCTACAACTGATTAGGTTTCCATAAAGAGAAATCCATTTTCATTCACTGCAACATTATATCCTTAAGGTTCTCCTGAAGGATGGTATCCTTGACCGCGTGGAACACAAAGCGGATGTTCTCTGTGTCGATGGCTGTCGTGAAATGATGGAAAAGAGGCTTACTGCGATTTCGCCTCTTTCGATCAAAGCACTGTACCAGATAACGCTGGACGTCTTCCAGACGGTGAGGATCTCCTCTGAAGTCTGAGAAATACTTCTTAATGCTGACATTCTTGACCTTCTCCACAAGGAGGTCCATTTTATTAAGAAATAAAATGATAGAGACGTTAAAAAAGAGCTTGTTGTTGACAATGGTCTCAAAGATATTCATGGATTCCACTAGTCTGTTTGTGCGTCGGTCTTCCATAAGGACCTGGTCGTACTCGCTTGAGGAAACCATAAATAGTATAGATGTTATCCCATCAAAACACTGAAACCACTTTTGGCGCTGAGACCTCTGTCCACCCACATCCACCATTTTGAAAGGAATCTTCTTAATAATGAAGTCATGCTCCACAATCCCTTTGGTTGCTTTTCTAGCCAGCAAGATGTCTTGCTTACTGGGACAATAGTTCTGCAGAAAAAAAATACAGGCAAGTAGGGACATGGTCATACTTCAGAAGGGAATAGTTAGGTCCCCTGAAGGAGAGTCTAGATGTACTGGGGTGGAATGACGATGCTGGAACTGAAGCTGGGAAGAATGAACTAGAGGCCAATCTTGCACAGGCTGCCAAGGGTGGGTGTGTGTCTCTGGTAACCGCTCCCTTTATCTCAGGCTATTTCCACCATTTTTATTTGGTTGTTTGAACTGATTATCAGCAAATTGAATCTGAAGAGTGAATTTCAATAATTTACAAGCCTTCACAGCATCATCTCTGTAACTTTTGAAGTTTTATGTCACACTTTCAACATATGCGATAAAATCCAGAGTTCCTGATAAACTAAGTTTCACTGATGCTGGGATTGGCAAGGTCTCACTGCTACTATATGGAGCTAGATTTTGTTTGAACAATGGATGTATTCATGTTTCTTTTTTTTTTTAACAGTGGGCACAAAACATACCTTTTCCCAAAGGAAGAATTAGTTTGTAGAGCTCCTATATTATAAGAAATTATTATTCTGCCTTAGAAGAGATATTATTTACTAAATCTACATGTTGAAACATCCAGTCCTATGCTTTTGGGGAACATTTTTCAATGCTATTACTTCTCTTAACTTATCTATGATTTGAATGTATGACACAAAACACATAAAAGGAAAATCTCACCAACTGGCCAATCCGATCCAGATTATCCAGGAAATATTTTACTGATTCACCCTGTTGAGAGAGAAGAATATATTTATTTATGTTTTATATCCTGCCTACTTCAACAAACTCTGAGCAGCTCACAGAAAGTTATATTTAAAAGCCATGGATTAAAATATCCTGTGGTGAAAACATGCAGAAGACTTAGAGCCCAATGTTCATCAGAAAACCCAAGTTTGCACCACATCAGGATTTTACTGCACCTTGAATTGTACTTGGAAACATACTGGCAACCAATTTAGTGTCCAAAATATTCCTTGCTGAAATGGTTCTCACCTGCCAGCATGCAAGCTTCTGCATTCTGTACCAACTGAAGTTTTTGGGTAATCTTGAAGCAGCTCTAGAGGGTTTTAGAATAATCCAATTACAAAGTAATGAAGCAGCTGTCTTTGCAAAGCGGAAGGCCTTGGTTTCCATTAAGAAATGTAGTACTATATACATTTATTTGCAACCACAGGTTTTAGCAAAATTTGTATAAAATTACAACAATCCATATCAGTTCAATATATCCCCTCTAATACTAATAGCACTATTTGTCAACATCTGCTTTCGTATCTTCCTTGTGGCCGTTGCAAACAATGCAACTTGTTTTGTTACAAGTTTATCTACATCTGTCAACAGAAAATAGATTTTTTCTTCTAAACTAGACTGATTCAGTTGGATTAACAAAGGCATGATGAATCTAGCTCTAAGTTCTTGATATAATTTGCAATGTAATAAGTAACATAAACTACAGGACAAGGGCTTCAATGCAAGAATGTGACCAAGTGCACCATCACAGAACTCGTAATACTGCTCCAGAACCAGGTCTGGGATCTGGAAAATCAAATCTTGAAAATATATTTACACTGCTTTGCTCTGCCTCGCAATGATCCCTTTATGGAACAGTTCGTAAGCCAAGCCAGACACACCACTTTGGGGAAGAGAATTTCCATAGCAGGCTGAAAAATAAAACAGCTTTGTCTTGGTGCCCTTATCACAATCCATAGATTTTTGTGTTATAATACAATGGCTCATTCTTTTGCCTCCTCAATACCTGGGCAGGGCATTTTTTGCTTTCCAAGTGAAAAAAACACAATACAGAAGTGGATTGCTCTCCTGTTTATCCTGATTGCTTACGAGATAAAGCAACCTTTGTGTGGTTTCCAGTTAAGGACATAATATACAATGGAAAACCCCAAACTATTTTCAGGCCTTCTCTAGGGTACCCCCACAGAAGGTTCCCTTGGAACTACATAGTTATTTATATATATTTATATATCAAATTTATATATCAAGTCATTAAAAAGTGACTTTGGGCGGTTTACAGAAAAGATAAAACCAATTAAAATTCAACGTAAAGGCAGTCTTAAATAAATAATAAATAAATTCCAAGAAATGATGGAGTTGGCCAGTAGCTCAGGGAGCGTCATCAGGGCTCCAGCCAGCCCAAGGATTGATTAGAGCTCTTATCACCCCACGCAAGGTGGCAGACCCAGGTCCTTAGTCCTTTCCAGAAAGCCGGGAGGGTAGAGTCCCTACCCTTGTGTTTCACAGGCAAGTAAAATATATTCCAATTTCAGCTGTGGTGGTTTGTGAGCATTCCTCATAGGATTTTTTTTTTTCTTGCTACATGATTATATTATTGGGTTTTTTGTCTTTGTGTTTCTTTTCTTGTGGTTCACCAACAAGGGTTGGTGTCAGTCAGAAACACTGCTGAATAAATGAATGAACAAATAGATCTTCCTTCTCCAAAAACACCCAAAAGAGAGATACTTTTCAGATGTGTCTAAAGCCAATGTATTGGAGGAAGAATGGAAAAGGTCTACCAAAAAGTGCTTTTTGAGACAGTTAGTGATGTCAACGCATATTCATTCATCACATAATCCCCATACATGCATGCAGGGGCTGAGAGCCAATATTAGTAGTATCTAAGGCTGTTCAGATTGGCCTTTGATTATGGAAATCAGCATTGATGGCAATTAGTATATATTACACAAAAGAACCAGACCTATGAACAACCTTAACTCATAAATAAAATCCAAGAATTCAGCAAGAGTAGACCACAATTCTTACACATTTCAGATCTTAAATGGGCATGATTTACTCAGATCTCTTCTCTGATTTGACTGGTATCAGGGTGTAGTTCCTGGCGATTCTTAAACCCTCCATACCACTCTAAAGACAACAATGTCTTCAGATCATTAACAAGCTGTCTGTTGTCCTTGGGTTGGTGGGAGAAAACATGATTCTTGCTGTAAGCAAGTAGCAAACAGTACTTTGTTCAGGCTGAGCCATTTAACACCCCTTAAGCTGTGTTATTCCACCTGAAACAATTAAACTGCTCTGCTCTCAAAGCAAGTTTGCTTCACTATATCTTAGATAATTCTCAGATCATCTGTTTATTTATTTTTTTTATCTAAAGAGTTAACATAAAAATATGGATGATTCATTTTCACATTATATCTCTCTTCTGTAATGTTGTATATCCTCTGAGTCAGTCTTGCCAACTGGGACAACGTAGGAGATGCTGTTCCCATTGTTGAGAGCAACCATGAGTCATTCCACATCTGGGAATTAGAAAATCCAGAACTATGAGCTACCGCCCTGAAATAAACCAGGTCCCATATTTGAGCATTATTCCAACATCTTATCTTGTTCTTTGTTTATTTCTAACCA